ATATACCACAGTTTAATTTTGTTGATAAAAAGGTTAGAATCGGCAAGCGACCAAACTGCCATAAATTGACTGTGTTCATAGGGATACTAGCATTTCTGTTTTATCTTTCTCCTCTTTTATAATTGTTTGATGGACTGATCAACCGATGGGACAAAAGTATATCACGGATCACTAAGCGACCGAGTAATATGGCCACACCACCAAAAAAAGAGATTCAATTAGTTATTTTAAATGTTTATCATTAACTTTCTATATGATTAAATTTATATGCTTTTTTTATCAGCTTGCATTGCAAGTGTAACCCTGCCAAACATTGCCTTTTTTCTGTCATTTACCTGACCATCATATCAACACTCAAATCTATGGACTTATCGCATCAAGACTCTCCTCCTAAGTTATGGGCCTGATTAGGCCCAATGGACTAAATTCTTTGCGGATAAAACATTTCCATTATTTTATATCCTTAAACTGTTTATTTAAAAAAAAAAAAAGCATCCTAAAACTGGACCCCAGAAAATATACCAGGCATGAGTGGTAAACTATATTGTTTATAAAGTGTGAATAATGTGTCTTTCTATTTGATTATTAAACCCACAACTCAACCGTTTTTAAAATAATGTTTACTTAGTAGTTAATTTTGTTAATTATTCTATACCCTCATCCTCTGTGACTTTCTTTTTTTAATAAAATAAAAAAAAAATTAGGTTCTTGTACTTTATTCACATTTTGTTATTGATCTTTGTATTAATATTTTGATCTCTATACTTTTTTTTGTTTTAGGTCCTCCAAGATCCATATAGTTTGTTCATGTAGAGACGTAAAACAATAAAAAACTTTGATAATTAAGTACACTTTAGAATTAGAACTAGTTTAGTATTCATGGATTCATATAAAAAAAAGTGTGAGGATTATAATACTAGTGAATGAGAGAAGCAAGTTTTGGATTGTAAAAATGAAGAAAATAAGGATACCAGGTAAGGCAATGAAGGCATCAGAGTGTCTGGCCATCTCAGCTTTCCTTTGATGCATGTCTGCTACTGCCTTCACTTCTCCAACTGTTTCTCCTGTTATCTGCAATTCCACACCCACACTTTCTCAGTCACAAAGATAGAGATTGAGAATCTTGTTATGATTACTGACCATTACAGAAGAAAACAACCCACTTAGTTACTTTCTCAGTGTCACACTTGATCAAACAAGGACCGAAAAACTGGGCATCCCCATATGAATCTCATGCCACGGACAAAATATGCCCCCTGACCTATTGGCCCCAGTTTGCCAGGTGTTCTACTCATAATAACATAACCTCTCTGTCTCACTTCGAGAATTTAAAGCAGAATTCCAACCACGATGCAAAACTTAGTATCCTAGAAAGTGAAAGCACCTTCTCATAACAAATGCTCTCTCTCTCCTCTCTCTGTGTCCTCTGTTTTGGGTCACTTTCTTTTTTGTTTTTTGTTTTTGTTGATAACACTCAAAATGAAATGCTTTCAGAAACTTACTGACGTTACCTCTCTCGGCATTAGTGTCTGGGAATAACCCTGCACACAATAACATGACAGGCATTAGTTGACAACAATTGAAAAGAACGATGAACAAAGTCTCTGTCAACGCTAGCATCAGTGAACATTATAATGCTTGCTAAATGCTCACCCTATTACATGGCGACCACCATTATAAACAGCTTGAGAAATCAACCCCATCAAACCAATGCTGCCTCCTCCATACACCAGATTAATATTCCTTGACACCTTCATTTCAATCACCAAAAAAGAAGCATCCAAAAAGTTCGTAAGTCCAAGTCTCATTCTTTCACAGAAAGACCATAAAATCCAAGATATAGCAGAGAAATTCATATGAACTTAACTTTTGTTCCCTAACTTTCTCTCAGTTTATGCAGCAGAAATGTAAATGCAAAGGTATATACAAACACAGACCAGCGTCTGAAAACAGAGAAAATGGAAGGCTATAAACTGATGCTGTTCAATAACTAATCAATTGCTCATAGAGATAAGAATAACAAGAAAATTTATGGGGATTTGATCAAACCATGAGCCAATTTCTAAGACGAAAGCGAAACGAATATGAGAGGCAAGTCAAGTATTACCAATTCCTTCCCTAGCTCAATAGCTGCATCCTTATAATTGGTCTTCTTCCCTGGGCTACTCCCACAGAACACACAAATCCTCTTGAACCTGGATTGTTTCATCTCAGTTTCCCTCTCCATCTCTATCTCTCTGAGTGTGTGTGCGTGCGTGTTTGGTATTGAGTTAATATCCCCTGCCTCTGTGCGCAGGTATATATAATAACGTGGTAATAGGCAAGGCAAAAGGCAAACACAATCAAAACGGCATTTGTGAGTCGTAACGACATCAGGGACGGTGCTGACTCACCCACAAGTTGCATGAATAGACTACATCCACTCATGTGTGTGTTTCTTTCCTCTTTAACATGGTCCCCTGTCCCAGAAACAAAATGGACACACGCGGTCCAAGTTCCACATAATTGTGTTCAATTTTTGTGCTCCTGTAAAACTCACTCGCTTTATCACAATTAAAAACCAAAGTTAAGACGAAATTTTTATGCCTTTATATTCCCTCATAAAGTTTGATTGTTTGTTTGTGTAAAATACTAGGTAGGTGAGAGTTGATACTGATGCGTATTAGCTACAGATATCTGTCTATAATCAAATTATTATTATTGTCATCCTCATTTGACAATCTTTCTCCACAGGAAAATAAGTAGCAGTAGTTGCTAAGCAATTTCTTTGCATACAATGGACGGGTCAAATTGATTCCGTGCAAAAGGATTCACGTACAGAGCCGTATGCTGCTCATTGGATGTGGGGGAACCATGCAAGAGATGGAGCAAGTAGTGTCTTCTTGTGAAAATTAAATGATAATATAATTAAATGAAAATATCAATAAAAGATCTTTTCTTAATCAACTCATGTTTACGTAGCAAGTAGAAACTCTCATCTAAGTGATCGGGAATTTGATGCCAACCCCGTATTTTGAAGGAGATTAGTCATTAGAACATGAGTATTGGCGCAAAAATTAAAGAGAATCCTGAATCTAGTACGATGATGGAAATCAGAAATGCGTGCCGTTCCCATCCATTATCGTCTTGTCCGTTAAGGTTAATGTTGGTTGAAAGGGATTACGGTGTCCGGAGCGAATGGAATCTCAACACGATTATGAAACATAGCGATGAAATTGGCAATTTGGCGTAGCCATATTTGGCAATGGTGTCCTCTTTGCTTAAGGCTATTGTGACTGCCTCACTCATTTATAGCAACCACCAGAAACTTTTGACCGTGTTAATCAATCAGAGACAAGCAGTGAGTTTTGAGGGTTCTTGCTTATTCCCAAATTAAGTTCATCAGATAACAATTAAGGTTTCCCACCATGCTACCTTCCCCGTTTTGTTCGGTGCTGATGGGAGCAGAACGAATCACTTGCTGATTTGTGCACAAGATAAGGTTTTGTCGGGTAATGAAAGTAACTCTGTTCAGACATATTTGAAGAGAAGCGAGAATCAGGTATAGATATATATATATATATATATGTTATGTGGGAGCTAATCAGAAAAAAAAAGCAAGAGTCAAATCTGGTATGCTTAGCCCTAGTGAGGACTGTGCATGTTTGTTGGAGCATTGTGAGGAGAAAATGCGAATTATATGGTCCTTCACGTCTGATTGAGTTCCGCTTCTCCATGGTGGAAATCCTACTCACATCTTCGTCCACTTGTGTCTCGATACCTACTTTCTTTTCTATTGTTTTACTCTTATTTTTTCATTTTTTTTATCTTTTCTTTTTCCGGGCCAGCACAATCTTTAATTAAAAAAAATTAAATTTTAATACTTATTTACAAAATCTAAATTTGAACTTCCGCATCTGCAACACATGCAAGATAAATTTCATTTTTATGACTTATAAATAATGTAAGCTTTTGTACTAATTGGTATTTTTATATCTCATATCTCACTCTCAATTTGTCCTTTTCATATTTTATATTGATGAGCATTTTGTAGAGTTTGTCCTCATCCCAAAATCTTCTTTTATATAATCATTGCAAATCTTTCGTTTTTTCCATCAGATTATTTTATTTACTTTTATTTTCTGCAATTTAGTCATGTTTTAGAAATTAATTGGAAGGAGAAAGAAAAAATAGACAGGAGGGTGAAGTGCTTTCTAGACCTTGCTTATGTATTGATCGTTGATACTTTATGCATAATTATATTTTTCTTGACAAATCACGAAGTAGTTAATAGTAGCTAAAAGCTAGAAATTCAAATTAAGGTGGATTAGAGGAAAGTGGCGCATATAATCATGATCAGGCAAGGGCCTAATTAGAAAGACTTCCTAATTAGGATACAGAGAATCTAGCGCCCTGTTCCCGAAGGCGAAGAGGATTAGTTACCGCACGGGCCCATGTATGTGAAATAGCCGATGGACTGTTCACATCAAATTCAAAAGTCGCGCCCCAGGGTTTTGGCTCATTCAATCTCAATATCAAACAGCACTCATGTGAAGCAAATAATTGTCTCCTAATCCAATTTCAACCTTTGTTTAATATGATCGGATCACATGCCTTCGCGCATTGAATCCATTCATGTGAAAAATAGACGGTGCATTCTCTTCAAAAAAAAAAAAAAACAAAGAAAGAATTCTGTTAAAATATCTTAATCTAAATTGATTACTCGGTGTTAATGGGAAAAGGTTAAAGCGCCTTTTCACATATCAAATATCAAAATCAAACCCTTTTGACTACTGTTCATTTATTACAAAGCCGCAGCACTAATGATAGCTCCCATGCATTCCCCATGAATTAGGTACCGCCTAATTAAGATCAGGAGGCTAAATCCGGCCATCATCTGTTTTATGGCCGAAAGCTGTATTTATGGTGAAAATGCTTTGGCGGCAAATCCCAATGCACACTACAGAGAAAAAACATTGGTTGAGTTCGACTAGATTCTTTTACTTAAAATAAAAGAAAGAAAGAAAATGACATGGCGGCTTATGGCGAGTGTTAAGCCTGGATATATATATATATATATATCCCTCCCAACTGGGGGTTCATCATTATAGAACAGTAAATGAAGATAGGTTGTTAAGGAGAAAAGGAAGATGGGGGGGGGGGATGGGGTTGAGATAGATGGGATGGAAATGAAGGGTGAAATGGAGAGTGGGTGCAGGGGTTGAATTGGGTGTATGGCGTGGACAGTGACAATGTACCCATAGAACTGCAGGGAGTAATGATTGTGTGCGCTTTTTGGTAATCTGGGTTGGTGTTCATCTGGAATGTGTTTGTGGAAATTGGAGCGATAGCGGAGATATGGGAAAACAAGACAGGGCCAGAGTTGAAGTGCTGTCCAATAGGACATCGGAACGTACCAAGTGTGGGTGCTTTTCGGGGTGAGTTGAGAGTGAGTAAGCAGTCCCCATCCCACCATGGTTTGCCACTTGTCCCTTTGTTGCCTCTCTCATCATTCCCTCTCTTCCCTCCCCCCATTCCTCTTCATCCTTCCCACTCATTTATTCCCCTTCCATTTATTTTGCAAATTAACAATAACAACGACGCCACTTCTCAAGGTTATTAATATCAATCAATTCTCCCCCCCCCCTCATATATATTCTTGTTAGTAGACAATGTATGACTTCATACGCCAAGGTTATGAGGGAAAGCGAGCGTGCGTGCGTGCATGTACAAGATTTGTAGACTCAATAACTCAAATTTTGTATCAAGATGTGATATTAACTTCACTCATATATTTTGAAAAATTGTATGTGTGGTCTTTGCATGTAATACTGGTTCAAACCTTCACATTTGTGATCGCCAAAACAACTTAAAACAAACAACTAATTATATCGTATTTGCGTGTCTTTCAAGTGTGAAAGCGTGGAAAATCCAACCTTTGATTTTTTTGCCCGCTAGCTTTTAATCTTGATGATTACAAATAATTAATCTTAAAATTATCTCAAACATGCTTGTTTTAAAATTGTGATTGATTTTGTGTTTATTGCATCATCAAGGAATCTGCTATTATTGAAAACAAGGAGGAATCATATATATAGGATGATAACATGAAACGATTCACAAACTTGAATTAAGGCGTGGTGTTTTTTGGCTGCTCTTAGTACTTCATTCTCTTTTTTTGTTTTCCAACTGTGCTACTTATTTTTAATGAATAAATATAGACATAGACTAACATTTGAATTGTAGTGTTGACGAGGAAAGTTCTCACAATTTAATTATTATTGTTGAGCTAAGAGTTGAGGTAACTTTTCTTTATTCTTTTTATATACTTGTAAAATCAACGTGTTTATTGAATCGAAAACCATTCAAACATGAAATTTGCGTTGGTTTGGTTCCATTCATTATGATTCTAGACACTCTTTTACCTGGTTCTACTTCTCTCTTCTCTTATTTTTTCTTTTCGTGTTTTTCCCCCGCGTGGCCTCATCTTTTACTTGTAATCATATCTATATTTGTCGCGCACACTCTCCCGTGAAGGAGTGGGCATTCATCATTGTAAAAACAACATATATCTTTTAAAAATTGAGAGTAGATTTATCATTTTTATTTACACTAGTCACACTCAGCATAGAACGCCTATATTATTGATGCTTAAATTTATTATAGGTTTAATTAGAATGTTAAGTGTAAAATAATTTAATTTATATAATCGAATTCTGAATTACCAAGACACTGCTACTAATACAGCAAACATAAACATAGAATAATTAACCTCGAACATCATTTGTCTTAACCAATACACAATTTCCATGCTTGCGCGGCTGAATATTTAATCTGTTTCTTTATATTTCTTATCTCATCATCAACACCATCCATATCCACAGGGAATATATCAAGGAGTTGGAAAAATCTATGCACTCTTGTTATTTAAGTCACAAAATAAATCAGTAATAAATAAAACAATTAATCAAGAGGAGTAGATCCACAAGACGACAGTTATGGTAGTTTTTCTTTACTTAGGTAAGATGGGAATGGAAGAGTCTGGGTTCAGTGGCAACCCCACAACAGGTAATTAATGGTGATCACAATAAATAAATAAATAAATAAATAAAAATAAAAACGAAAGAGTATTTGAATTAACAACCGCTTCTTCTTTTGTTTGTTCATTATTTACTTCCCTACCCTGCCGGTTAAGTAGTTCCCTGATCCCTATGGTCAAGGATAATGTTCACATGCAATATGGAAATTTGTCTGAAATCAAGCTTGTCAACTTAAGATTGTCACTCACATTAATTTCTTTTGCTAATATTAAAATAA